CATATGAAGTGTGACTGATCTAGGTTATCTGCGAGATGTATCTGCTAAATCTGAGAACATCTTTACATGCTGTACTAAATGAACTTTCTAAACGTCTATTTAACGTCCAAAATGGACTGCTATTAGATGTTTTGCAGATGAGAAAACGCTCTACGTTGTCTTTCAGACCAAGTATTTTGTCCAAATATGAACATAAACACCAAAGATGCCTGCACAATGTGCAATTGTTAGACGTCTATAAGTGATTTTTGATGGCAGTCCAAATTTAGCCTCGTTTTAGGCGATTTAAATTGCATATAACATTTCCATGCATTTGGGTTTTTAAAATAAACTGCAGTCTAATCAATGTTGAATATATTGCATTTTAAATGCTCATCTTTTTAAAATGCAATTCAGCTCATAGTAAAAAAATGACATGTATTCTGTTCGAAAAGTGGTTAAAATACAGCTAGCTCAAATGAGAAACTTAGATTTGCATACGAACATATAAATGTGGTTATTATGCATTTAAATCACATTCAGCTTATTGAAACTATAACACAAATCTTTAATTAAGCATAAATTACATATAGCAAGTTCATTACCTCCAAACGAATGGAAATTTTATAGGCAAATTCACAAAAGTCGAAATATTTCTGAGTGCTGTGAGGAGAAACGAAGTGTTTTTCCCTCTGTTGTATTGTTGTTTCTCTGAAAAGGTGCTCAAATGGCAAGACTTTCTAACATTCAACCTATAAACTCTATTAGTGTCTATTAATCTGCTGCTAGTGCTAACGTTCCATTCACACGGGGCTTCATCGTCAAAGCTTCCCATTCGCTTTGAATGGGTGATGTCAGGCGTTGCCGAACCACATTGTGGCGTTGCTCGCTGCAGAAGTTGGGACTAGCTCAACGTTTCAAGCGCCGACGGAAGCGTCAGCCAATCAGATCGCTGTATGCAAATACACCAGCTAGACAGTGGCCTATTGCTGACTGAATTTTATTGGCTGACGCTTCTATGATGATCGCTTCAGCCCCAACTTCAGACACGCCTTCAGTCAAGCGTTGACGCTGAAGCCTCGTGTGAATGGGGCGTAAGTTTTAGCTACTTGTATCTTTTCCGTTATGTTCCTAAGAGCGCATATTTATTCTTTTTAAAAGATACTAAAGCTTCTTCATTAGATACAAGACCTTACTTATTAGATACAGATACGGTTAATTACATGCTAGTACTTATTAATTAGATACTAGCACGTCTTTCAGTAGATAATAGTAATTCATTTCACTTTTTAGTCAGTGGATTACGGTGATCAATTATTGGAATACTGATCAGTTCAGACAGTTTAGTACGTCTGTCAATTGTTCCTAATATTATATATATTAGGGTTGGGTGATGTCGACCAATTTGGCATCGTACGATGTCTAATATGAAACATCGCGATGGACGATGGCAACATCGTCATTGGTGGCGGTGAATTAGTTATGAATAGTTAATTAATTTATAACAAATAAATTATTTGTAGCCTACCGTTTTACTACGTGACCCGCACGGTGTTTGTTTTACCCATTACCGAATCAAAATTGAATAAGGATAAGTTACACAGATAATTACCACCTGTCAATCACTTTTTCCGCGGGACTCTTGAATAGGCGTGAATAGGCAGAGTGATCTGTGTCGTTATAATGGCCTTGACAAACTTGGTTGGTAAAAAAGGTGCACAACCAACAGGAAACACTTAAAAACTAAGACGTATTAGTGTAAACAGGGGCTGAGTGTGTATTTTTCGCGAGCGGATTTGCAACAGGGGCAGGGCGGAGGATTCCGATGCCGGTTCAGCATCATGGTGTCTGTCAGCCATTGGCGATGGATGATGGCATCGCCTATCGGTCCAACCCTTTTATATATATATATATATATATTAGGGATGTCACAATTTTGTAATTCGGTACTGAAATTTTATAAACGTCCATGTCATGAACATTTGAACGCTGTGTAACGAGTTCCTAAACAGCGCTGATTTACCACTGTGTTCACAAGCTCAACAGAAATGACTATGATTGGCCGAGAAGGTCATCGGTTCATCAAACTCACCGCTGTTTACTGAGAATAACCACAGATACAGGAACGTTTTAAAATCATGTCGATCTATAAGCTGACATACAATTGATCTGCTGATAAATCTCAGCATTGAAACGATCCAGTGTTCCTGTATCTGTGATTATACTCAGTAAACAGCGGTGAGTTCAGTGAATTTTTTTACAATTTCAGTACTGATAGTATTGAATTCCAGTATTGTGACAACCCTAATATATATATATATATATATATATATATATATATATATATATATTAAATACAACCAGATATTCGTTACACTATAGTTTGCTTATTCCTAAATAGACACTAGTTTTAATTAGATAAATATTCATTATTAATTGATTAGATAGCAGTAATCAATTAAATACGAGCACTTTTTAATTAATAGTAACAGATATTCAACAGTCACAACTGCCTTTGTGTTGTTTAATCAGAACTGTACACATTAGTTACTAGCAATTGTACTAGTAAAATACTGAAATATACTTAATATAGTATATAATAAATGTGTACTTGTTCTTTAAAAATGTTATTATAACATAAATAATAATAAACACTAGCAGCTAATGGACGCAGGCTGGTATTTAAAGGCATAGTTCACCCAAAATATGAACGTTTCCTCAACTTTCCTAAACGTTCATGAGTTTGTTTTCTCCTGTTGATGGGATATTGATCAGTTATTCTTCAGCATATCTTCATTTGTGTTCGGCAGAAGAAAGAAACTCGGGTTTAAACCAAGTGACGGATGATTTCTGGGGTGAACTGTTGCTTTAATGGAAAAGATACCAGCTAAGAACATTCGTTTGAGCAGCAGTGTGAGAATAAACACTAGTAGAGTGTTCATATTAAATGCTGAAGAGTTTGCCATAGTGCAAAGAGTAAAGCAGATCTCTACAGTGTGTGTGTGTGTGTGTGTGTGTGTGTGTGTGTGTGTGAGCAGAGCGCCATCTGCTGGCCACCGACAGCGCAAAAACACCTGATCTTTTTAGAAGGGCAGATAAATAACTTAAATAATTCATTAATTTAATATTTTAATAAAGAGGGTCCGTCGCTGCATCATCATCGGTTTACAGTGTGCATGATGAGCGCGTCATGAATTGTTGGGATAAAAAGCAAAGCAGAGGTTCCTGAAGTGAAGAGCTGGCTGTGTGCATGTGTACAGGTTTATATGGTTTACGGGGACACACATTTGTATACTGACTTGATTACACTGCTAAATGTGTCTTGTTTCTAGCCCAAATACCTAAAAATTCTTAAATCAAGACGCATTTTCTTGATATAGGGGTGTTTTTTTCTAGAAGTAAATTCTTTAAAACAAAATAAATATTTTATTTAGCTTATTTTAAGGAAAAACTGGCTTTATTTTCACTCCTTATTTCTGAAAACAAGCCAATATTTTGTGCTTGTCCAGAAAATGATTTCAAAATGTGTAGATATTTAGACTAGAAACAAGACAAAAACACAAAGTAGGAAGAGCATTTTCTGCAGTGTGTGGCCTAGTTGGGGGCTAGGCTGCATTATATTATCCCTCTATTTAAAAATGCAAGAATGTATTTAAAAATAAGCATTTTTCACTGTATAAATACATCACGCCTATGGGGTGTCCCTGTAAACCATGTATACAAGTGTTTGTGTTAGTCAAAGTGCTGTGTGTGTAAGTATATATGGTTTACAGGGACACAAAGCTGTGGGTATGACTTGATTGTACTCTATCAAAGTGGTTTACAGGGTCGCATTTAAAACACTTAAAGATCATACTTAATGAGGTCGTTTGATATGCAAGTTTTGCTGCAGGTTGGCGTTTAGGGATACTTATTTACTGTATAATATACATTACACCCATGGAGTGTCGCTGTAAACCATGTATGTAAGTGTATATGTGGTTTACAGGGACACAAAGTTGTGGGTATGACTTGTACTCTATCAAGGTGGTTTACAGGGTCGCATCTCGTGTTCCTCTAATTTAAAACACTTAAACATCCAACATAACGAGGTCATTTTATATGCAGATATTGCTGTGAGGGTTAAACTGATATTAGGACCATATCATGAGAGGATTTTACTGTATGAAATGCATTACACCTATGGAGTGTCCCTGTAAACCATGTATACAAGTGTGTGTGTGTGTGTGTGTGTGTTGTCAAAGTGCTGTGTAAGTATATGTGGTTTACAGGGACACAATGAGTATGACTTAGTTGTACTCTATCAAGGTGGTTTACAGGGTCGCATCTCGTGTCCCTCTAATTTAAAACGCTTAAAAGTCATACTTAATGAGGTCTTTTGATATGCAAGTTTGCCGCAGGTTTGCTGTGAGGGTTGAGTTTAGGAATAGGACCATACCATAAGCAGGTTTTACTGTATAAAAATGCATTACACCTATGGAGTGTCCCTGCAAACCACGTAAACAAGTGTGTGTAAGTATATGTGGTTTACAGGGACCCAAAGTTGTAAGTATGACTTAGTTGTAGTCTATTGAGGTGGTTTACAGGGTCGCATCTCGTGTCCCTTTAATTCTAAATCATACGTAGTGAGGTCTTTTGATATATAAACTTTGCCACAGGTTTACTGTGAGGGTTTGATTCAGGAGTGGATCATACCATAAGCAGATTTTACTGTATAAAATACATTACTCCAATGGAGTGTCCCTGTAAACCATGTATACACGCATGTGTGTGTGTTCAAGTGGAAGGTGCCCAGTTTGATGATAATGTGCTGGCAGTCGTGTGTGTGTGTGTGTTCAGGTGGAGGTGACGGTGGTGCCGCTGCCCAGTTTGATGATCATCTGGGGGCAGTCGTGTGTGTGCGTGCGTGTGTGTGTGTGTGTTCAGGTGGAGGTGACGGTGGTGCCGCTGCCCAGTTTGATGATCATCTGGGGGCAGTCGTGTGTGTGTGTGTGTGTGTGTGTGTGTGTGTGTGTGTGTTT